CCAGTTGTGGAGTAGATTTAGAAAGGCATACAAAGTCGAAGATCCTGGGAGCCCTCCATATTGGGAATTGGAAATTTTCCCGTTTATATCTTCATTAATCCACTTGTTTGTAAAGGATTCCTGAACTTTTGATAAAACACTGGTTAATGCAATCGGTCTAAGGTTTTCAGCGATTGTACATGGTGTAATCTTAGGAATCCCAGTTACTTTGTATTTTTTCCAAGTTTCAGGAAATTTCTTTGTCTGAAATGACTCATTAAAAATTTCAGCAAGGGGAACGGCAAACAATTTCGAAAACATTTTCAGAATCTTCAAAGGTGGATCATTTGGCCTAGGTGCCTTGTTAACATTAATTGCATTCAATTCTCTAGCAACTTCTTCAACACTGATTAACGGTAGATCATCCGGGCATTGCATTTCTAGCCACTCGTTTGATATATGTGGATAACTTGTAGTTAAATTAGCAAAGAAGTTATTAATTGAATCTGCCGATTGTTTATCGTTCATTTGGAGATTTGTCTCGGAGTCTACTAAAGTCACAGCGTTTTTCCTTGATCCAATTAATCTGTTAACTTGCTTCCACCATGCTTTTGGGCATGAACTATGGTTTGGTCGTACCTTTTTATCATAAAACTGCAGCTTGGCTTTCTTTATCTCAGCTGAAACTTGTCTACGTAAAGATTTGAAGAGCTCGGTTTTATTGTTTTTAAAAGCTTTATTTCTTTTATCCATCAGAGATTTAATTTTTTGCGTCATAAACGGTTTATCGTTGGTATGCTTTTTTATTATTCTTTCGGGAAAAAAACTCGTTGATAATCACTTTAGTAAAATGAAGAAAAGCATCAACTTTCTCATCGAGTCCTTTGTTAAAGAAAAGTTCACTCCAGTCACAGTTCTCTAGAAAAACGCCAAACTGTTCCGTACTTGTATGGTTGAGATCTCTCACTTTTACCTTTACTATGTTTCCAGCCTTTACTACAGAGGCATCAGTTCTCGCTTTCCACAACACAATGTTATGATCTGATGTTGATAGAGGTGCTAAGACCTCAGGATTGATATAAAAATCCGCGATATTTGTAAAAATCAAATCAAGTATATTGTTATTCCGTGTCGGAACCTTGACAACTTGTTTAAGACTGCAGTGTCTATTTAATCGACTCTGTTGAAAGCCGTTACTCGTTGGGTTGAAAGCCGTTACTCGTTGGGTTAAAATCGCCCGAAACAATGAAAGCTGAGTTAGGACTTTCAGTACAGAATTTGTCATAACAATTATAAAAGTAATCATAAAAACTGTCTATCTCGCTAAGACTCGGTGGTAGGTATACGCAGCACACCGCAATTTTAGATATTGCTCTTGGTAACCATTTTGGACGTAATGTAACCCATTGACACTCAAACGAGGGGTCATTCAAGTCCTTGCGAATTTTAAATAATATTTTGTTATTCACATATAAAGCAACACCCCCTCCTGTACCATACGTTCTATCATTTCTAACCAATGTCATTCCAGAAACAGCCACAGCTTTATCGGGAACAGTTTCCTTTAACCAAGTCCCAGTGATGCAAGTTATGTCTATATCATTAGTAATAACCAATAATTCCAATTCATCTGTTTTATTAATAAGTGATCTTGCATTTAAAAGCATTACATTTGGGAGAAATTTCCCATTTTTTGATTTATCGTTGTTCTTTTCCAAAGGAATATTAATTAAATTGGATTTACGTGCGTTACTCAGTGGTGCATATTCTTCTAGTAGTAATAGCTGTACCAGTTCTTCCGCTCGTGTTTGTCTTTCAGCCGATCGGTTTGGTGATACGTGGGACGCGATCGAAAAAACTTGTCTCTGTTAGCCCATTTGCTTGTTCCTCTGTTAGCCTGTTTGCTTTTTAAGGATTTGCTAGACTTTCTTCTCCACCGATTTGTTGATGAGGTACGTAGAGTGATGCGAGTTGAGATGGGATAAGGCTGGGAATAAGTAGATGGCGAATACCCTTGTGATTGTGGGTTGTTTTGCGTTTCTGGGCAAGTTTCTTGAGACGAATCCCAAACTTTAGGTTTAACTTTGCGTTCTTCCAATTCAATTGATAAGACTTCGCTCGTATTACGAAGCAAGCTATTTTCGTCTCGTAAAACGGTAACATTTCTTTGAAGTAATCATTCTCATTTCTTAAGCGTGTTAATTCACTACCCATATGGTTATCTACATCCGTATTGGCAGTAGAACACAATTCTTCAACTGGTTGGCCAACCGATATAATTGGTGGATCAACATGCTTCTGAATACCCTTACTTTTAATTTCAAAAGGATTTTCAATTCGTTGACATACCGACGTAATTAATGATTCGTCACGCTTCAGACTGCCATTGTTTTTAATCGTATCGATATTTGCATGTGTAAAGGATTAAGACACAAATCTCCAAGAGGACTCTCAATACGTCGACATTCCGATGTAATTATTGATTCGTCACGCTCGGGCTACCATTGCTTTTAGTCGTATTTGCATCGTGTGTAGTGGAATTTAGGCATAAATCTTCAAGAGGATTTTCAATTGCTTTTCAGGTTGCCATTGTTTTTACTCGTATTGTGTGTTTCAACAATAAGGCACGAATCACTCTTCTCGACATTGACAACGGAAAACAAAGAGTCCGTAATCGACTGCAGTGTTATAATCTGCATTTTATGTCTTCTAGATCAGTTAGTATTTGATTACGTGAGCACTGTTTCTGTAATTCGTCAATAGCCCTCGTATTCGACTTTTCCGCTTTGCTTGTGGACAACCTTGATTGAAATAGCTGTATACTGAATTTTATCAATATGCATGCATTGAAAGCATCACGTCTTACCTACTGACTGATCAGTTTAAATAAATAAAATTTACCGCTTTAGGGTGGTTGCTCGAGAAAAATCCCACTGAGCTATACATATTACCATGTACTATAGTAAAGCTCAGTGGTTTATCTGCAATTGACGTCACAAAATAATAAGAAAGGTCTATTGATTCATACGTCGCTCTTCTGCCGTATGTAATGCGTCAATCAAGTTCGGTACACGAAAAGTACGCCGTCTGAAACAGTCCTTACGTTCTTAGAATCAACCTCAACTACCAAATGCAGTGCCACCTGTTTTCAATGATCGAATCACGCTATCAGTCATCGTCTGGTTTTGCTGTTGCCCGTTAATTGGAATTCTTGCTATCCTGAAATCGTTTGAGGTGAGGGAATGATCTCGTTTCTCCGAACGAGAAGTAGGTAGCGTGTAAACCGAAAGTCAAACCGCAATTTGTATAGGTTATTTTGAGGCAACGAGGGGATATGTGATTTATTCACCGAGGCGCGCAGCACCGAGGTGAATAAACACATATCCCCGAGGTGCCTCAAAATAATGTACTTATTTTTCACATTGCGAGGTCGCGCTAATGAGTCAGAATAGAAATAATTCTTAATGCCATGTTGCTTTCGTGATGTTGCTTTTTCTCATTTTTTTGTGCTGCAAAGACATTGCAGGTGAATATTAGAGGGGATTATTAGAGGGGATTACTAGAGGGGATTATTAGAGGATTATTAGAGGGGGGTTATTAGAGGGGGGTTATTAGAGGGGAATATTGAATATATTCCCCGATAAGAAACAAAGGAAACCGAGCAGGGTGAAGAATACGAAATGTTATTGAACAAAGTTTGTAGTTGAACAAAATTATAATGTCGAACGGTCAGTATACCAGTGTAGATAGCGGCTAGGATAACAAACAGCTTTTGTGCGAGAGATATACAACTAATATGAAAAATATAGTATTAATAATAATAATAACTTCTCGACGAAGAGCCTTGGCTTGAAACGTCGAAGTTTTGCTTGTCAGTATTTTTCAGATAGTAGTATATCTCTCTCACACTCATCCCTCTTCTCGTCTCTTCACCAAAAAATATAAACATGGTAGCTGCATGCATGGATAGGTTAGGTGACTCAGTTTTGACATTACTACCCCGGAACGACGTCACGAGGATCACGCTAGGGATTATGGTTAAGATTGGGATTAGATTTAAGGTTAGGACTGGGACTGATCCATTTGTGTCAGAAAACAATCACAAATGAATCGAGGAGTAGTTTAGTTTGTTGATTAAATTCCACAGTTGATTGCAAACTTTGAAACTTAGCTAGTTTAAAATATATCAAGACCAGGCCTAGAAAAGTTTTAATTTTCTCCCTGTCAGCAAAATCTACAACCATAGAAGAAATTTCCTATGCATCTGAACTATAAACTACAAAACAGTTCCTGCACCGCGCTGTCCCGCACATGGTCTTCACTTCAATACACCCCTTCGGAAAGTACATCACTTTAGTTTCCTACATCAGCTAAAACCAGCCTCGTACCCAGGCTCTTTAGTAATTACTGCCGTTCCAATTGAAGTGTTGCTCAAATATTGATTCAATACATTACCTCGGGCTGACCAATTCATTTCATCAAGTTCCTCAAAATATTCATGCACTTCCTAGTATAATTGTAAACTTCCTGTTGAATAATTTGAATGCACCAATCACCTTTGTTGTTTGTGCAACTAACCAATCATAAATAGAAAGGAAGTGACCAGAAATGATCAAATACTTGGAATTGGCTCTTTCACAGGAAGTGTATGAATATCTCGAGGAACTTGATCAAATGAATTGGTCAGCCCGAGGTAATGTATTGAATCAATATTTGAGCAACACTTCAATTGGAACGACAGTAATAGCGTTCAGAGCGGGGATCCCCGCCCGCCTAGCTCACCAAGAGCCCAAACGTTTACAATGAAAACGAGGCTGTGTTGCCAAGGTGGCGTAGTTTCCGGATTTCGACACACGAATGGCAAAAGGCATTTGGAATTTTAAAACAACAAGCAAATTATCAACCTCGTTCCCAGGGTCTTTAGGACACGTGACCAGCCGAAACCAGGGTCTTTCGTTCGCCTCGCGCCGTTCCAATGAAGACCCTGGAAACGAGGTTGCCAAATTATATGGCTTCCAATATTAGCAATATATAGCATGACAAAAATTCCATGCAAGACGTAAGAAAATTTCCAGCAAAGAGATTTTGTTTAAATTTTTTTGGCAGCAGCGGTACTGGCAGGCATTTTCCAGCACACAACAAGACAAACCATCATTAATGATTTTTATGCTGATAACTAAATGTTCATCTCTTTATTTCTAGGCAAAAACTCGTTACATAAATGGCGACTATGCCGGAGCCGAGGCGTCAGCGCGAACAGCAAAAAAATTGTCTCATGCCGCTATCATTTGTGGCTTGATTTTATATTCAGTAACCATTTCTGTCACAGTTGTCGATATCGTCATAATAACCAAGAACTAAATTGACCTTAGTCAGCTCGAAATTTATGGCTACGGACATTATTGGATTTTAACGACCTTTAACAGTTTGCCTTTTTTAAATTGGTGCATTTTAGAACAAACAACATGTAGTAAATGACTGTATCAATCAATCAATTACCTTAATGCACAATTCAAGGTCATATTCATGAACTTATTCGGGTTATGTATTGAAAGCTTTGTAAAATGAAGGTGGTTGTTTATAAAACAAATAAAAGAAGAATGAATACACCAATTCGACATACCAAGTAATCAGGGACTGGGACTAAATTTGGGACTGAAATAAGAGCTTTAGCATGGTAAATTGATAATATACCTGCCCAAAAGTTTCTGGGAGAAAGAATTATATGGGTATTCACTGAGGAGGACATTTACTCAAGAGAAATATATCACCAAAAATGTTTGAATACAAACATCCGCACTGATCGAGTTCTGTCCGAGAAGCAAGTCATAAACCAAGCAACTGCTTTTTTAGACACAGCTAATGAGCGAAGTTTTTAAAGAAGCAATGAATGCTCAATGCCGTGAAACGATTTTGATAGACGTCCAACAAAACAGCAGCAGCTATCCACTTCATGCATCAAGGATCGTATCTGTCACAAATATGTTAGGCGTGTCTGTTCAATGCAGTTATGATCAGTAAGAAACGTTTTACGAGACATACTCAGTTAGTTGATTGATTGATTGATTGATTGAGGACAAACAGGGCCGCTGAGAGAATTCGCGGGGCCCGGGGCAAATCTTCTCTCGGGACCCCATGACTGTATCATTATTTTTAAGCTAGACCCAAGTCAGTCACCCAACTAGACCTTAGCCAGACTGCATGTGGAGCTACTGTAAGGGGCCCTCAATTTCAAAGAAAGAATTTTAAAAAACCTACTCAATTTCAAGCTCTCGTTCTCAACTTGGGGCCCTAGTAAGGTGGGCCCCGGGGCAATTTTCCCCCTCCTGCCCCCCTCCCCCCCTCTCGGCTGCCCTGAGGACAAACGCTCGCAGATTTAGGAAGCCGCAGGTAGTAATAACACAGGGCGGTTATCTTGGGTGTTTCATATTCTCCCGAAATTGGAATGAGTTATAATCCTATAATGCTGATGAAAACAATCTCAGTTCGAGTTGGAAGTAGGCCTATTATAGGTATAGCCTCTTTAATTACAGAGAGTGTAGTTTAAGTTTTTCAAATAATTAGAAGCGCATGCTACAGCTGGGCCTGCAACATAGAAGTAGTACACTTAACGTATTTTATTATACATGAAATGTTTAGTATAGTATTTAATCTTAAGTTGTAAATACCTTAGCTTTGATAATATATTTCATTTATAGTGTCCTCAATTAGCTATATTTAATGTATGTTTATGTATGCATGTGTACAGTTTCTATACTTGTAAAACTCATTAATAATTTTTGAAGAAAATTGTAGGTTTTCGAAATACAACTCACGACATTGATGCATGTGTATGCACATAATATCGATTTATAATTATAGCGCATAAACTCGATCGACACATTTCAGATATTCTTTTGCGCGCTAAACAACTTCATACCTGCATGTAACGACGTTGTTCCACGAAAAAGTCCTTCAAAATGATCCAATAAAACCAAGCACTGCAGCTGCAATAGTTCGGCATCATAAACTGCTGTTTGGACTTAGAACTCGACACAGCGGGTTCCATTTCTCAAGCTGCATAACTTTGTCCCATGACTTTCATCGCAACAGCCGATCGAAGACCAGGAAGTGCTCGTATAAGTTATGAAATATTCGCCGCAATATCCCAGGGCATCGTACCTAGAAATCAAAGTATTCAACATTAATATAAGATCTGCATTTAACTGATTTAAGCAGAAGGTGAGTGCTGCGATTACAATCTTAAAACTTGCTTAAACGTCAGTTCCAATGTCCGCCTGGCACTTATTACAATTACACATTTCAATGTTTATTTACATGAAATGTCCATGTTGCGTTATGCTGCAGTGTTGTGATGTGTTGCATGTTGTGTTATGCTGTGTTGTGATGTGTTGCATGTTGTGTTACGCTGTGTTGTAATGTGTTGCATGTTGTGCTGTGTTATGCTGTGTTGTGTTGTGTTGTAATGTGTTGCACGTTGCGTTATGCTGTGTTGTGCGGTTGTGCTGTGTTGTGTTGTGTTGTGTTGCAGTTCCCTTCCATTCTGTGTTGTATTACTCTGACATAAAATTCCACACCGGGCAAGCTTGAAAAACATGCCTGGCCACGGTGGGAATCGAACCCACCACCTTTGGAATACTAGCCCTAACTATGAGTCCGCAGGCACACTGAATAGCCGCCGTAAAAATTAATACAGACATCTTTTCTAAGACTATAAAGTTCGCGTATATTAATGCAAAATATTACGAAAGTCACCGAACTGTGGAATCGCATCAAAAATTCGTATATCGACCACTCCCACAAACGTCTACGACCGCGCCTACATAGTTTTGCACGTTTACAATTCTAATTTTAAACAGCCAATTACCAAGAACC